CCAGAGTCGCGGAACGAATTAAGTTCGTGAACCGAGGTACCACTGTATAAAGGACCTCTAACCATAGATGCCTGTGAGCCATTCTCTCTCAGTTGCGGCCATGGTTTGCAGGCAGCCCCTCCAAGGCTTTAGTGCAGCTCCTATACTGCCCTCTCCCTTGTCACACTGAAATATGGGGGTAATTATTTGCTGTCAACATTCAGTCGTGCCAAAATCTGATAGGAAAGTAGTATTTTAAGACTGGAAGTGGTGTTTTGGGTTTGGCTGTATTTTTTTTTAAGCTTGGAGTGAAGTAGTCTTCCCTTCCGCTGTTTCATCCGGACCATGTTCACTTTTAATATTATAACTTCACCTAGTTTCACAACCCACAATCTGAATATGGCTCTCAACCAAGAAAAGAATCAAGTGCAACTCAGCTGCTAAAAGTTCCCACATTATGCAAACTATGGTTACTGAATTGTAGATTGTACCATTTTAAACAAACTCTCTGCATGTCATAAATTAAAGCAGCACTATAGTAGAGAGATATGCAAAAGCCTGAGATTATTGTTTGCTAAGTAAAGAGAAGTTATTTTTTAACTTATGAAATATTAAAAGAATCTAATTCCTATGGCAATCTCACGAAGAACAAGCTAAAGCTGAACTACCTCATTCTGCAAATATGTGGAAGAGGTTGTGAGTGTAAAGACGGTATTCCAGACATCTTCAAATATTTGAAAGACTGTCACATAGATAATGAAACAAATTAATCCTTTGTAGCCCCCAAAAGCAGGGCCTAAATAACTTTAAATTTCAAGAAATGGATTTTCAATGGAAGATTAAGAACTTCTTGACAGTGCAAGCTGATTGGGTGTAAGCATTTTGAGTTAAGAACAATGGACACTAGTGACCTCTAGCAGCCATCTTTGCCAGTCTGCACTAGTAGAATGTGTTATTTTAGTTCAAAGGAAATCTGTGAGCGATTTGCTTTGCACCCCTTACAGAAGGTGTTCATTCTAAGATTTCATTTTTCTTGTGAAAAGAAAAAAAAATGGAATCCTGGAAACACTTTTCACCACTGATAGAAAAGAAGGGTTGAAATAATGGATAAACATTTCAAGGAAACTCACATAAAGCTGATCGTGTATGTTGGCCCCATGCTTTAGTAAGGTTTCCACCACTCTTATGTGCCCATATTGACAAGCAGCTAACAAAGCAGTACCACCATCCTGAAAAGAAGGCAAATGGACACAAGAGAAAATTTCAGAGAATAGCAACTGCTAAACATTTCTTAACGTTTAACTCATAATGAGTAGAAAAACTCAAATTACATGGCTATAACTTGCTCCCCTGAAAATACATACCTCAGTTCCTATTTACTTAAAAAAGACATTTTTGAATCTTAATTGAAAGCAGACCTCTCTTGAGATCTTATCTTCATATTATTCCTACTTATAAACAGCTACTACTTGACATTCACTACATTTCCCCTATATAGATTTATATCCAGTGGCCTCTTTTATAGGGGAAGATTTGGCTGTGCCCTCTCCTTCCTTTCTCTAGCAGAAACTTGGCTTTCAGCATTCAGAAGTGTCATTTAAGGCCAAACTATAAGTACCAATGGAAGATCTTCTCTTTAAATAAGGCCTAATATGGAACTGTGGCAAGATACACTTTACAAAGCAAAAGCAGGGCTTCAGCCATTTCCCCAGACTCCACCTGCCGCAATCTTCTTGTATTTTCTTACTCTAGTGTTCTCTCTCTCACACACACACCACTTTAGCAGGGCTTACTTCCAATTTTGGAACCAAAGGAAACAATGACCTGAGTGATGGACTAAAGAAAGAAAAGCTATGGAGAAAGTTCATCACTCCACACCTGCAGTTTCTTACAATGCCCTACAATTTGTGTATGTTTCAAGCAGACTTACATTTTAAGATACAAGTCACTTCCATCATGCTTTCTTCCTTATTTCAAACCATGGTTATTACAGAATCTTGCTCTTCATAAAATAGCATTCAATTCTATAAAATGGCTACCCAGTTTCCATAGCACATTAAAGTGGGCAATCCTTCAGCTATTTCCCCATTTTCCTTTTTCAAACCTGTCCCTGTATGACAAGAGTTGCATGTATATCCTGCCCTGATTTTATGCTAAATGGAGCATGATGGGATATACAGTACAAACATGGTTATGGTCTGCCCTGGTCATTTAAAAATCTACCATGAGTTTGTGTTTTGAGATGGGTTTCCTAACAGGAAGTAATTTCCATTTTTCACTTCTATCATGTATACATGCTATGAAGTGTTCCATAGTTACATCAACATGACAACTGGTAACCTCTTTGTACTTATCTTTCCAAATATTGCATGTTTATATATCTGCAAAATCCTATCTACCCTAAAAGCTGGTAAGATTCAGTTTTTTGTTCCAATCCATACTGCAGATTACCTGAATTATGTCACTGGTCTAAAAGTGTTGTTCTCAGGACTTTTAGGCTCATCCAGATAGCTAGATAAGGTGCTGTTGTCCAGTCTGTGACTTGGCATAAAGTACAACACACAAATTAGGTCTAAAGGTCAAGAGGAAGAGGTGCTGGCTGAACCGGAAGTCCCGCTTCAACTGGCATAACTTTACAACTGCCAGGGATCCAAAAGACCTCCTGCATGTTGTGTCAGTACCAGTGTTGGCAGGTCACATACAGTGGTAATGCTCACTGAAGTTTGAGTTTCATCCTGAAAGAGTCAGTCACCACTGCAACAACCTGCTGCCATGAGTGCTGACATGCCACAAGGTGAAAAGCACCCACACAGTGTGTCAGCAGGTGGGAGTGCAATGAAGCTGAAGCACGAGTTTCTCATCTTGGCCCAGCAAAGGGGTATAAACAAAACTAGCTGAACAAGAAGGAATTCCCCTGCACGTGTACTGGCACCCATGCTACCAGGCTGAACGATCATGCTATGGACAGCAGAGGCAGGTGTCTCTGCACTAGCCAAGGGTGGCCAATAAGGGTTGGGCAAACCACACCCATTACATTCACACTGTGAGTCAGTCACAGCTGCCGCACAACACCACATGCAAATTGGTGTGGAGAAGGTGGAAAACACCAGTTCAACTTCAGTTCAGAAAAAACAGAATTCAGCTGGCTTCAACTCTGGGCTGCAGGTAAGAGGAATGCTTCAAGAACAGCTAACCAGCCATCCTCAACCTGAATTTAGGGGGCCATAGAGATATGCCTTATGCCTTTCTATTAATTAAGGAAATAGATGCTATATTCTATATTTCCTTAATTACACACCTACATTTTTGTGTAGAAAGACAATGTTGTTTTAGCAGAACAATGCAACGTTCAATTCTTCCATAATAGACACATATGACTATCTAACTGCTGGCTGAGCAGCTATGCAGATGGTATATAGTTCAACAGTTTTTAGAAAGTCTACTATTGTGGTTATACACACTTTCCCCCATTCTGTCATATAAAATGCATGCAAAAAACACTCCTTCATATGGAAGGTGCTTCAGACAGCTAATAATATTTTTTTTAAATTATGCCTGGGATGGGGTTCCACATTTCATATTAAATTTGGAACAAAGTTGGCCACATCTGTAGCGCATTAGAAACTGAAGCAGCATTGCTGCTGCTGGCAAACGTGCTGGAAACTCTGAGAAATTAAATCAGTCCTAGAGCAACTGCACACAAAGATCTCAGAATGAAGAGATTTGCAAAATCACAGAACTATTACCAAGAAATGGCTATGCTATGATGAAGCACATGATGCCTTTTCAACCAGAAAGCAAATACATAAATTGTACAACACACGCTGTGCATTTTGAGCTGATTAGTCCATACTAATCAGGAACTCCTCCAAGACATTTTGTCCACAAACAACTCATAAGCTGAACAGCAGTATATTACTGAAATCTCCTTCTGATGGCAATACTTTTTAATATTGCATTAAGCCCCCCAAACAAGCTGTGCAATCTTAATTCCTCTACATTTTGAACTGCTAGGTAAACATATACAAGGAGTTTTGACTTGAATTCAACCCACTTTCTATCTACATGCAGCCCTAGAAAACAGGCAGTGAATCACTGAGTTACTTCCTGTAAAATGCAGTTTCCACATTAATGGAAAAGGATCTCAGAAACAACAGAGCAATTAATGCAAATCAAGAGTACACAATCTGTAGTTCCAAGACTGTCTCCCCAAAGCTTTTGGATTAGGATGCAGTGGTCCTTCAAAAAAGTGTCACTGAACTAATAAAAGAAGAGGAAAAGGAAATACATGCAGAGTAATCATATTAAGTGCAATTAATTTAATTAAAAATAATTAAATTCACGTTCTTTCTTTTTTTCCTACCACTGTCCAGTTTTTTGTCATGGGCCTTTTCAGACAAAATGTCCGTCTTCCAAAACCATATAACTGAAGGAAGAAGCCAAACCTGGTGCAATCAGATCCGCCTCCTGGAACCATGGGAATAAAGAGGGCGATTGTTTTATTTGAATGATGGATCTACAATTTGATTGGGAAGACCCTTGAGCCTAGCTACTTAGCGTAGATTGTGGCACAAGATTCAGAGGTTCTACTATTAACAGATTATGGCTAGAGTTTTTTTTTTCCCCTTGGGGAATTTACTTTTTGGATATATGCTATTTTTCTGCTTATCTAAGATTTCTTGGGAGTTTTAATGATTTTTTTCCTACTGCATTTAGTATTTTATAGATTTGGTTTTATTATACACTCATTTTTATTGTTATAGGTTGCTTTCAAGTTTCTTTTATTTCTTTTTAAAGCCAGATATAAGTAACTGGTTTTCTTTTGTTGTCCTATTTTAAATTGTTTGTTCTGTGGCATAGATCCATGTCTTTGTACCAGAGTTTCCTCTTACATGGTGAGGTTCCCATAGGAACTTGTGCTGCTACTTCCCCATCTCACATAAAATTGCTGTGCCTTACATACAAGGAGAACCTGGGAGGATCAGATTAATTTTCAAGTTCTTTAGTGCTGCAGGTTCAGTATATATCTCAGATAGGCACAACCTCAGCCTTAAATATCCACCTATATAAAAATAAAATAAACAGTGATCTACCAAACAAAAACTTTGTGAGAGAAATCACTATTAAGATTATAAAACATTTCAGAATTTATAAGGGCATATAGTAGGGCTATGCACATTTTGAAAACGATTAGGAAGAAATGTTTTAGACCTCAGACAAATGCAAAATCTCCTTTTCAGGCTTCTGTGCAACCCTAAGAAAAAGATGCTATTTTAAGGAATGGCTTCCATCTGCTGTTTCAGCAGGAGCTCTGAATTCAGAAGGACCCCCCAGATTATGTACCCATGTCAAGAGCAACTACCAGGACCAACGTTAAAGGAAGTCCCCAATATTCACTGGCATGATTTCTGAAAGCATCCACACCTTTTTGTTTCTGGCAGGATTGCTTTAATGATAATGAAGAGGTAGTGTGCTCTCATGAGGTCCAAAAACGTTTTCACAGCATGCAGAGCCCTAACTGTAGTAACCACAACATGAAATCCGTTCTGTAGAGTATTGTGAATCAGTCTAGAACAGTATTTCTCAACCTTGGCACTTTAAGATGTATGGACCTCAACTCCCAGAATTCCCTAGCCAGCCAAACTAGTCAAGAATACTGATATAGTCCTTGAAAGTTGTACAAGCCACAAAATATGTTTAGCAAAACCTTTGCTTTCTTCAGTTCTGTGTATATTAATTAGCACTCTACCAGCTCTTCCTGCATTTGCAGAGTTATGGGCTCCTTTTCAGTAATGAGAAAGCAGTTCAACAGTTGATCTGCAGGCATCTATGATGGCAACAAAACCTGCAGATCTTAGTGCAAAAATAAGAAAATCTCAGCTGGGATGCCTACATACTGCAGCTTTCCCCAGACTGGTTTCTCCAGATATGTGGGATTTCCGCTCCCATCATTCCCAGCTATCATATTGTACCAACCTACAGCACCCTACAGGAACAATTCCTGTCCTGATAAATATGAAATGCAGTTTTGTTTTGTAAATCTAGCTGCTAAGGTTTCTGTAATTGCGACTTTCATACATTTCCAATCTGTCAATCAAGCAGAGAATCTTTTGTATTCCTTTTTTAAAGTTTGCTTTCATGGTCATCTTTGGCTTTGCCCTTTCCAAATGAAACAACAAAAATAACAAGCAAGTTGAGTGACACTTATATAATGAAAACTGAGCAATAAGAGTCAGACACAAATTAATGTCCTGCCAGAGAACTGCACAGGGAGAAGCAAAATTATTCCATGGGCCTCTTGTCGGTTCTCCATGCCAAGCCTCGGATCAGATGAAAACAGCCGCCTTTCCTTCCTGCCTGGCTGTCTAAGTTCACCAACATGTCGAAGCCAAGTATAACTTCTTACTTTGGTTTTGAATTCTGTGGAAGCTCCATATTCAAAGAGTAACTTCACTATATCTTTGTGGCCTTGTTGTGCAGCAAAGAATAGGGCAGTGGCACCAGTCTAAAATGAGAATCAGAAATCCCATAGATTACCAAATATGAAGGGGCATTTCATACAAAATATATGGAAGATGTTTTTTGTAATTTAACAAGGATGCTGATGGAAGTGCTGAATGAAACCAAAAGTCTCTAGCAGCAAACATTTCTAAGTAAAGATACTCCAACCAGATTATTCTTTTGCAGATTCCAGGATGTTTCCTTCATGTATCAGAAAAGTGTGTAACCTCCACACAAATAATAATAACAACAACAATTTATTACATTTATATGCCATCCAACTCCCAGTGATTCTGGGCAGTGAAGAGCAGGAACAACTTTGCCCATTCCCCCGATCTCTGTTCCTGTCAACTCCATATAGATAAGGAAAGCCTTTCTTCATTAGCTATTTACAACTTCACTGGCATGGCCTGGTAACCCAATTTTACCCCCTTTCTCCATGGCACTGTCTTGTCTCATTCCCAGGCTATGATTTAAAGGCTTTTATTATTTCTGGTCAACAATCATAATAAAGTTTTGATCTGATTTAAAAAAGACCCTTGTATGGCTCTTTTCTATAGATTAAAATCCAGAGTGTTATTTTGATTGTTTTGACAGCTCTTTCTGTCCCCACAGCCGGGGGTTTCATTAGGGATCGCTAGTAAGAAACCAATCAGGCAAACTGAAACAGAAAATGCACAGAGGCTGTCCAGGTGATTTAAAGCTCTGGAAAATTTGGCTGCTAAATCCCACGTAGAGGCTCCTTGCTGCAAACAGCACAGAGAACAAAAATGGTAAGGCAAGAAAGACACAAAGCTGACATATTCATCCCTACTCCCCACTCTTGCAAGTAGAGGTTACATTTATTATTATGATGATGATTGGTCACAGAGTCAGCCAGATCTTTAGACTGGATTTGGCATTTTTGTCCACCTATCGAGTCCTTCCCAAGGACCTGGGCTAAGCTGATGTTGTTTGATAGTATTAAACGTATCGTCGCAGGATGTAAGCTGTTTCAAGTAAAGCTGCCTTTTGCACTGACTGATGGTGACTTTTGTCAATGCCAATGGTCTTCAAGGGGATGCTCCAGATGTTTTGGAATTGCACCCAAGGTGCTTATTACTACTGGTACTATCTTTGCTTTCTTTTGCCAAAGTCATTCTATTTCTATTTGCAAGTCTTTATATTTTGTGATTTTTTTTCCCAGTTCTTTCTCTTCTATTCTCCTGACTCCAGATATCACAACATCCACTATCCAGACTTTTTTGTCTTTCTTATCAACAATTGTTAAGTCTGGGGTGTTGTGTGGTATTATTATTGGTATTATTATTATCTTTTGGACTTTGTAAAAACACTTGGAAAAAAAATGTTTTTGGACTTCATTGAAAGGCTCTTGCCACCTTTTCCTGGTGTAAGGTTCCTGTGTCTTAAACAATGAATGACAACCAAAATTAAACTGATACCACTCTTCCTAGCGTGGAAATGAAATAGTGTTTAAAACTAAATCTGCTAAATTTTTCTCATACAGCTGTGAGGAGAGAGGGAGGCACAGTTTCTGCCTAGTGAAATAAGGTAAATTTATGATATAGAATCTACACTTTCTTCCCTCAGAAGTTATTCAGTATTATTTCTCAATGATTCAGAGAACTGAGAATGCATTCTCAATTCTTGCTAATAAAGAAAACTTGAAGAGGTATGAAATAATACATTACCAAAGCAAACATACACATAACTATACTGTAAGTCAAGCATCTATACCTCAATCAGGCCAGACTGAAATATTAGAAAGAGCTGGTTCTATACTTTTCTATAATAATGGTTATGCTTAAGAGAGAATATTAGAAAGATCCATTAACATTATTCTCTTGGGTCTCATCAGATGATTAAGTACATGGAGATCATGAACTGTTCAGAGACAAAATATTAAATGCTTTCTTGGATGAAAATCTTTTATCAACAAACATTGTTTGTTTGTTTATTCATTTATCTAATTTATAAACTGATCCAATCAACCCAGACTCAACACAAGTAGTATACTTCATAATATAAAGTAGTGTACTTCATAACATAAAGTCCCCAAAGAACTAAATTAAATATACAAGATGCACCAGGACAAACTAAGGGCTGAATGTCCACTAAAATAATGCAGTTTTCACTGGTATCCTAAATACAAGTAAGTAGGAAGTCATCCTCACTTCCAGGGGTAAGATGTTCCAAAGTGTAGGGACAACCACTGAGCCCCACAGACTTTGCTGAGTGGGGAGAACTCTCAACAGCCCACCTCTAGGTGTTTATACCAGACGGCATTAAAAAGGAGTGACTAGCACTTTGAATTGGACCTGGAAGCCAGCGGGCAGCCAATGCAGCAACTTCAGGTTAGGTGTCATTCTACACTGATGAGGTTGCCCTGTCAGGAGCCTTTTCACCACATTTGGAACAGCTGTGGCTTTTGAGTAATCTCCAAAAGCAACCCAAGTATAGCACATTACAGAAGTATCACTGTGTGATTATCAGGGCACGAATCACTGTCCCCAGGGCATCCTGGTTGAGATGTAACTGGGGTGTAATCGGCCCAGCAGCCAAAGCTGAGCAAAGACCCACTAGCCTTTTGGGTCTTTCTACTTGCTGTTTCAGCAGGAACCATAAGTCCAAAAGGACCCCCATATAATGTACCAACTCCTTCAAGGAAAGTTCCAATATTTACTGGCAACAAGCAGCTAAGTGTTGGCAGAGTTTGGTCTGAACTTGTTTTGTTTCATCCAGATGCTGACTGCCTCCATGTACTGATTTAAGATTAATGCAATTCTAATATATCTAGGTAGCAAAGCTCACATTATCTGCTGTTAGATTTGTGGACAATGTAGTTTGCAGATTTGTTCTACGTGGTGTTCTGCTGATAATGGGAAAAGACCTTGAAGCTCATGGTAAGTTAAGACCATTATCATTGGTCTTAATTTTTAAATTACAAATTAAATTAAATTTTAAATTACTAAAAGTAATTTAAATTTAATTAATTAATTTGATTTAATTAATTTAAATTTAATTAATAAATTTAAATTAAATTAAAAATTAAATTAAAAATTAAAGCCTGAACAGACTGCATGTAAGCAGAAACAAATTTTACTACTGAAGATCACCTAGGCTCTCATTTCTTTTTTGCCTGCCAAAATGTTTTTGCCAGCCAGTGAGTTTCATGCACCAATTACATCTGCTTATTTCTCACAATTTCTGGCTTGTGCTTTTTTTCCTGTCAAATGGGTTAGGGTTATTGATGGTTGACAGTTACCTTTGCGAATTGATGTACCCATGCAGTAATCACAACAAGGATATCGCATTAATCAATTATGTCTGTGGTAGGCAAAAACTTTTTGGACGTGAGATTTTAGTGATAGGCAAAAAGGAACAAGAGCTGTCACCTGTTACTGAGGTTGCTATTATTTCTTCTCATATGGCATCTGTGCCTTTAACAATTCTGGGAAAGATGCTACTTTAATGTTTTAATGAGAAACTTCCACCTGTTGTCAGTTGGGCAGTTTAGATGATTTATATAACTGCCCAACTGACAACAGGTGGAAGTTTCTCATTATTGCATGTCAGTGTTGGGTGTAGGATGCATTAAAGTAGCATCTTTCCCAGAATTGTTAAAGGCACAGATGCCATATGAGAAGAAATAATAGCAACCTCAGTAACAGGTGACAGCTCTTGTTCCTTTTTGCCTTTTTGCCAGTTTTTCCTCCCATTCTACAAGGGAACCTACAAGGAAAACCTTGCTAGATCACTGAATTTCTGATTACTGAGATCATGGGATACCATTCGTGAGATTACAGTAATAAAAGGTATACAAATGTAATTTTTTGTAAAAAAGTAATAAATTATTCTTAACATCTATAGCAGATATGTTTGAAATATGTCCACAAAATTCCCATAATATACTTTTGGGTGCTGAATCTTTAATTAAAGCAGTCCCTAGGGTTACTTCTTTTGTAACTCTTTTTTAAATACAGAATTTTATCATACCTCTCTCTGAAGATTAATATCGGCTCCTTGCAGCACCAGTTCTCGCACACATTCTTTGTGGCCATAGTATGATGCTACCATAAGGGCTGTTGAACCAAGCTGGGCACAAAGCAATACAGTAAATACCTTAAATATGTAAACAAGCCATGAAAACTGGAACCTCCTTTTCATTTCTCTGCAGCTGCAGGCTCAAATGGAAGACAAAATACCTTTGAGCATGTCTCTATTTTTACTATCTTGAAGTCTAGACAAATAATGTTTATAAACTATATGACAAGAACATTACCCAATATCATTTATTTTTCCTTTATTGCATATATGCTCCCCCATTTGTGGTGTTCTTTGACTTTCCATTTTTCTTCAATCATTCAGTTATTTGCTTCCAGCAGACTGGAACAAGAATTGCTAAATCACTGATCTCTTTGCCCAATTGTAAAGGGACAGGAGACATCTTAAAGGCAGCAGATTACAGTACTCTGATTGAGAAGTCAGTCCAATACACAATTAGCGACAGGTAGTCCTCGACCTATGACCATTCATTCAGCGACCATTCCAAGTTACGAAGCTGAATGAATGGTGGTTATGACTATTCCTTGGAGTTCCGGCTGTCCCAGCACCCCCACAGTCACATGATCATGATCTGGGTACTTGGCAACCCGTTTGCACTTACAACCGGTTGCCAAGCACTCTGCAATCACATGATCGCCATCTGCAACTTTCCTTGCCAGCTTCCCCGGAAAGTTAATGGGGAAGGCAGCAGGGAAGATCACAAGTCGCTGAGGTAGGTCTCCCCCACCTGCAGTCCCTACCCCAACCCCTCTGCACTCGTGCCGCGCCAGCCAATAGTACACCCCCACGCACCCTCCCCAACCCGCACTGCATCCCCGTCCATTCTCCCCAACCCACGCAGCGCCTCTCGCACACCACCTTGCACCCCCCAACCTCTCACACACTCCCTCACACCCTCGCGCATCCTCCCTGACTCTCCCCAACCCATGCCTCTTGCGCACTCCTTCACACCCTCCCCAACTGCTCCCTCTCATACACCCTTGCACATCCTCCCCATCCTGCGCCTCTTGCACACCCCTCACACCTCTGTGCACCCCCGACGCACACTGCACCTCTCACGTATCCTCCCCAACCCACATGGTACCTCTCACACACCCCCACAGCTTTGCGCACCTTCTCCAACCTACACAGCACCTCTCACCCTTCACACCCTCGTGCACCCTCCGCAACCCACACAATGCCTCTTGTGCACCCTTTTGCACCCCTGTGCAGCACCTTTAACACACTCCCTCGCACCCTCTGCACCCCTGTGCATCCTCTTGCTCCATCCCCCACCCAGTAGCAGCTACTTACCTGCCTGCAGGCCTGGGACTTGCAACTTCCTACTGGCTTCTCCACTGACTTTGGTTGTGGGAAGCCGGTAGGAAGCTGCCTCACCTAATGACCATGGGATTCAGTTAATGATGGAAACTGGGACTGCAAGGATTGCCGTCACTAAGTGATGCTGTTTCGCTTTATGACCGCATCGCTTAGTGATGGAAATTCTAGTCCTAATTGCCATCATAAGTCGAGGATTACCTGTATATTGGTCCAAATGCCCCTCTGAATCCTGGACAGTTTTCAAACATAAAATATTTGCATTTTTCTAGGTAAAAATTATCCATTTACTGAACAGTATCATAAAGAATTTGCAACTCTGTAAACATATTTACCATGACATAAATCCAAAGTGAGATATGTAGATAAACAAAGTATGACTTATCCTGAAGTAAGCAAGCATAATATTGCCAAAATCTGAATGATACAAACATTTCTAATTTTCAGAACAAAAATATAGGAATATAAGATAACCAAGACATATGGTATTATAAAGTATTAATTATACTATAATACTCTATTTCAAAGAAACAAATATTTTAAAATCTCTCAAAGAAATTCTTCAAACTTTTCAAAGAAGCAATGGAGAGAGAACGTTTTGAGTTAACACTATAGCACCCATTAGCACTCTCTAATCTGTCCTTGTGCCACGGTCTCCATCCAAATAGCACCCCTCTATTCTGGGATTAGCCATGGAAGAGAAAGCATATAGGGCACAAAATGTACCTTTCCTCCCTCTCTCTGACCCCTCCTCCCCGGGTTGCTAACAGCAAGTCAGTGATGTGGAAGAAAAGTGCTATTCTTTTTAAAGAGGAAAAGTATGGAAAGTTCCAGTCATGGAACTGCAGTTAAAATTGTTTGGCAATTCCTTTTAAGCAAAAGTTAGAAACTAAAATTAACGCATTCCTCAGTTTCTGTGTCTTCCCTATCACAGTGTATTATGAAAACAGATGGAAATCGTATGTTTTTCCATGGAGAAAGTCCTTACACTATCTTTGCAGTCCACGTCGATGCGCCCACTATTCAACAACAGCTGAAGCAGTGCCAAGTTTCCTTTCCTTGCAGCCCAGAATGCAGCATTTGCAAGTGGTGTCTCCTTCTGTTAATAAATCAAAATGTAACAAAAATAATTAAAATCTGTTTCACAGTATTACATACAAGCACATGGGTACCTTGAATACTTTACTGATAAACTTTTGCCCCCAAATCAAAGTTATTACACTGAGGCAGTCCTACAGCAGTCTAGGCAAATTATTTTTTTCTTTTATTCTATGGAAGGAGAATCTTGCCAAGAGATTCAGGGCCACGTCATACACTCTTTTTTGTTGCCACTGTTCCCACAATAACTCATTAAATGCATCAGAACTCTAAGAGATCAGGCCACTGTTAAACAAGCACAAAAAAGAGCACATACAGAACTGTCCTATGCATAATAAATAATGGGAGCCAGAAAAACACATTGTCATGCAAGCAGAAGTTAATGCAGGCCGGAGTTGTCCATGGGATAAAGAGGTTAGGAGCATAACTGCATTATACCCTACGTGCCTGCAGTCCCATTTATACCAGAACTAGGTGTGACACACACACAGAGAACATTCCTTTGCTGACTTCAATTTTCCCTGAGTCAACAAGGGATTTGCCTATCTCTCCTTCTGGAGGTTTGGTGGTTTCTTTTATACTGGTAGCAGTGTGCTCTGACCGAGATATCTTATTTTTAAATCTCCAGTGACCAAATGTATTTTGAGAGATTGTGATAAAAGATTTGTGTAAGTTTATGAGGAGAGTATGAGAAATTCAGCATTTTATTATGTACCTAAAATATTATCTGATGACACTTGCTGTAATAACACAATAGGAAAATATCTAGCTGACATTTATCAGAAATGTTTACTGGAGCATCAGCATTTTTTCAGGCTGGACTCAATGACACTATAAAAAAAGGAAAGGAGAGGTCCTACTTAGTCACTATATACTCCTATGCAGTGAATAAATATTCTTCAAAAGAAGGACAGCTCTTTTGCTATAGAGATTGGAATAGGAAACTCCACTCTGCTGGTAAAGGGGGCATTCTTCCAGATGCCTATTTGCATTCATGGGTGTAAATCTAAGTCTTGAACTGGGGTATTTCAGGGATGCTAATGCAATGCCCTTCCATTTCCTTGTGATCAGGCCCTTTACTGACATCAACCAGAGAAACATAAAAGGTTACACTAATACCGCAACCTATGCATATGTACTCAAAAGTAAGCCCCATTTAATTCAGTAGGGTTACTCTCAACTAAATGTGCAGTATAGGTGTGTAGCATTAATCTCCCCACACCTGTATGATAATCCAGCATAGTCTCTCTCTGTGTACATACTGTATACATATTTTTGTATTAAGCACTGCATTCTTGTATTAGGAATTATGTTAAAAACAATCAGAAGCTCATAGTATATTAAATACAATAAGCAAATTCATGAGGTCTAGTATGTTACTTATTGCAAACTTTGCACTTGTTCTGCATTCAGGAGATTGTAGATTCTTCAACACCCGGTTTCAAGAATCAAATAACAGGTAATGGAAAGATTACTGAGAGCCTGGACTCCCATTACCAGTAAGTTTCCCCTAGATGTTGGACTCCATATCATCATCATCATCTATAATCAAAGACCAAGAATACCTAAACATAAACATTAAAACAGAATACAAAACTGAATTTAAGTGGTATCCATCCATCCATCCATCCATCCATCCATCCATCCGGCACATTTGGCTATCCAGAAAAATTATAGCCATTCTTCCTTTTCAAATTATCATGGCTATTAGTTAGAAAGGGTGTTATCAGATCTGTCTAGCAGGCCAAATAAAAAAGGCAGTGAAGAAGTGCAAGTCCATTGTGAAACAGTCTCTATTTCCTCTGCCAGGTAAAGCTATAGTCTGGTCAGTGCGAAAGTTTTTCTATGAGAGGGCTATAGAATGTTGGCTAAATAACTAGCATAGGAGAACGATTTTTCCATCAAGCCTATCCCATATAAGGAGGATTCTCATGGAGGTCTCTCTGGAAATCATTATCAAGGACACACCATAAATGAATGACACATGAGACAGCCCGCATCACCAATGAGTTTGAAAACATATTCCAAAATCAGAACACAATATTATGTTAATTCTCTTTCCTCAAACAGTGGGAAATCCATGCTGCCTAATGAAAATAACTTTATAATCCAGGTGGTAGAAGGTTGGTAGGCAAGATGGAGCTACAGGGATAATTCTCTGGGCGGCACAGAGATTCATCTGAATCTCTTTATGCAACCTGAATCTCTTGATGCTAAAAAAAAAAAAAGTATGAGGGGGTCATGCTGCATCATCAGGAAGAGCCTCATCTGGAGGTACCTGTGTTGGTCTCTTCCTGAGGTAGAGAGATTCTGTGGATAACTGTATGAACTAAAGCATAACATCTTTATGTATTTCTTTCAGGGGAACCAGTCTAGTGCAAAGTAGCTTGCTATGCTACAGTGGTCATGTGGAGAAATGCACCATAAAGGTGTTGAGAAAGCCATTATGACTGTGGCTTCCAGTCCACTAAAAGAACAGAGAGCAGCTCTGCCCTGTGTGGCTTTTTTTGCCAAGTGGAGCAATAGCTAATTTGTTTCAGCAAGAATCTGGCTGGACATCTAGTTAATTTTAATACGTATTTTAATAACTAGTGTGTTAATTTAAAAAAAAAATCTAGTGAGTTGCTTTGGGGGTCCCAAGACTGCCTGTGGGAAGATGATTCATGATGATGAGACAAAACTCTGCCCTACAAGAGCTTCCCTTTACAGCTCCCTCAAGCCTATCCCTTTGGAGGGCATTAAAATCCATTGGAGTTGGGTGGCCAATACATTTAAATAAATAATGTAATAATTTATGTACTGTACCCCTCCCAGAATGCTACTCCGACTGACAGTTCTCAATGGCAGAAGGCTTTGCACAACCTTCAGCAGCAACAGAGAACAAGATGTTTCCTGTGACCTTTGAACGCAAGCCATCTCCCTACATCGATTAGTCGGTGGGGTCAGAATGACTTCTCGACACGGCTCATTTTCCAGCCACTCGCACGGACAGTTCACGCGTCTAAGGTGAACGTGGACAAGAAGGCGTCACCCCAACCGCACACGCTTCACCTTTCAACGGTGGCTCCACCGCCAGCGGCAACACGCCAGAGATCGCTTTTCCGGAGCAGCCACTGCTCCGGTTTCTCCCGCCGGCCCCCCATCACCTGCTCCTCGCCAGCCCGGGCTAACGCCAGGAGGCAGCCGCTCCACCAGGCCTGCCCCGGCGGCTGACTGCAACGTTAGCGGGAGGTCA